TCTCTCTCTCTCTCTCTCTCTCTCTCTCTCTCTCTCTCTCTCTCTCTCTCTCTCTCTCTCTCTCTCTCTCTCCCCTCCCCACCCCCCAAAGGGCCACGTGGCGAGGGGGCCACATGACAAAGAGTTTCGAACTGCCGCTGTCGTTGCTCGTCATCCACGGACTGCCACGTGTCAAACCGTCGGGTTGTCGCCACGTGGCAAAGAGGTCCATTTTCTCTCTATGCGCCTGGCCATGTCAAGAGCTCGCCAGGCCTCTTGCTCTTGTTGAGAGGGAGAAAGGTTGCGCGCCATTCCTCTTTCTTTGGACGACTCTTCTTCAAGCTTGGTTGGATTCTCTTTCTCCTTCTGCAACTTCTGCAAGTACGTCTCAGGCTCGAAATCGAGTCGTCGGTCCTTTTCCTCTCCAACTCGCTGGCGCTCTTCTTCCTCCATAGCCGCCTGGATCTCCCAGGCATACCTCAACTGCAAGAGGTGTCTCCTGCCTGTGCAATTGACGCCATCAATAACATCCCGAGGACAATTGAAAAGACTGTTGCCGAGCCACCTTACACTGAAGGGGTTTATGGCGTCCCCCTTGCCAACCCTTTTATTCGTTCGTGGGGTGGAACGACTTCCATGGACCATGGCGATCTAGCCAATTGAAATGGAGCGAGAGAGAGAGAGAGAGAGGGAGGGAGAGAGAGAGAGAGAGAGAGAGAGAGAGACAGAGAAAGAGAGAGAAACATGCTATGGAACACTCCAACAGCAGGTGCAGAGGGCAAATGTGCTAAAGTTGACCTTGACGATCGTCTTGCACTCATATGCTTGATTGTAGACTTTGTGATGACTTTATAGGTTGGACTCACATTGACCTCGGTCAGAAACAGGCCCTTAAAGACCCGGGCCCGAACTGTTGACCTGGACTTGGCGCATGCTTAACAGTGTAACTGTGAAAGGACCGTTTTTTTTTTGTTTTTTTTTTTAACAGCAAGGCTTAGTCCCAGGCGCATCCCAAGGTTCAGACGGACAGGCTGGCATACGTGGCCAAGCGGTATGTCTGTCTGTGCGTCTGTCTGTCTGCCTGTCCTGAAAGCCCAGCCCTAGACCTGTGGATAGGCCCAGACTGGGCCTGAATCCTGGATCCACGCCCAGGGCTGACCAGCTGACCAGGCTGGTCCACGCCTAGGTGCAAGTCCTGCCCCGTGTCCAGTTCCAGGGATTGACCTGCCGCTGGTCTGTGGGTTTGTACCTGTTGACCTGGGTCTTGGCCTGTGCCCCTTTGAGTGGGGTATGGGCCCAGACCTGTTTTTTTTTTTTTTTTTAGGACCGACCTGGACCCATACATAGCCCCTCACTGCCGCTGAATCCTGGGTGCTTGGTCCAGGCCTAAGCCGATGTCGGGGCCCAGACAGGCAGACAGGCAGACAGGCAGATGGAGAGACGAACAGACGGACAAATAAACTGTTTGTCTGTCCGTCTGTTTGTCGATTTGTCTTCCCGAGTCTGCCTGTCTGTTTGTCTGTCTGCATGTCTGCCTGTCTGCCCATCGGCCAGGTTGAACAGATGCAGATGGAAAGACACATAGGCAGACAGTTAGGCAAATAGGCAGGCAGATA